CATGGTAAGACAACATAAATAGGGAAGTTGAAAGAAAGGGCAGATTTGGGGATCATGTAAGTATTGGCCTAATTAATTTAATTCGTGAACATCAGGAAGACATTTTGTTAAAGAAAAATCTTTCTTCTCACAATTCAAATCTCACAGTGACTGAAATTCCACCGCTAATTTTATTCTTTTGATTCTAAGTCCTTTTCTAGGCAGCTCCAATATTTTATAGAGGTAACACAGTTCAGTCAGTAACACTAATGTGAATTAATTTATCATTTTGTTTTTCTTCTTCCTTTTTGATGGGTCATCAGAACAGCATGAAAGAACTGGGCATCTCAAAGGATGGGTGGCACCAAAAGGAAGAGAAAGGGATACATAAAGAAAAGATGGAGGAAATGAGAAGAGCTTGGCACAACAGCTTTAACAAACAAGTAGATATTTAATAAACACTGTCTGATGAGAATGCTCATTAGACACCCAACACAAACACTCAAAGACCAGTACTAATTCTAGTACTAACTGAACTGAATGGAGAAAAAATTAATCATGGTACCTAAAATAGTTCAGGACCCATAAAAAAGAACATATTGCTAATTTCTCTTATTTTTCATATTTTTTTAATTGCTAAAGAAGCTTTAAAGATAGAATGATTTCCATTCCACTAGCAATTCAATAACTTCTAGTGTCTACATCTGAGAGCAACAAAAACCACTTACTCCTATTTGCTCTGAAGTCAATAAAAATCTCAATAAAATGACCTAATGCTTAACTTATTAAAAATCAACAGCCACTAACTCTAGCAATAAAAATATCAATGTTCTAAGATGCTTTTCTATCTCTTCCCGGCTTCTAGTAACTTGTACTGTTGTTCTTAAATTTATATTCCAACATTCAGGTTTTTGCCTAACAACATTTACAAAGTGCCTTTTGATTTGCAAAGCATTTGACAAATATTATCTCATTTTATCCTCACAACAATCCTGGGAAGTAGGTCCTATTATTAACCATACTTTATAGATGAGGAACCTGAAGAAGACATAGGTTAAATGACTTGCCAAGGGTCACATGGCTAAGTGTCTGAGGCTACATTTGAATTCAGGTCTTCCTGACTCTAAGTTCATTGTGCCACCTAGATACCTGAAGCTTACCTGAGGCTTCCTTTATGTAATTACAGGCAGTGACTATGGAAAGAATTAACCAGAAAAGCTTTCACAAGAACATTAACTTAGTTAATAGCTATTCCAAAAAGAAGTAATTGGCATAGGGGCAGCTAGGTGGCACAGTGGATAGAGCAGTGGCCCTGCAGTCAGGACGACCTGAGTTCAAATCAGACCTCAGACACATAATACTTCCCAGCTGTGTGATTCTGGGCAAGTCACTTAACCCAAATTGCCTCACTTTAAAAAAAAAAAAGAGAGAGAAGAAGAAGTAATTGGCATAGATAATTTCTGAATTGAGCATTTTCTGAGTCCAAGGCAAGGGGTGGGAAACCTGGGGCCTTGAGGCCACATGTAGCCCTCTAGGCCCTCAAGTGCGGCCCTTTGACCAAATCCTCTGAAGTTTGGATTCTCTCAAAGGGCCTCACTTGAGGATCCAGAGGGCCACATGTGGCCTCAAGGCCCCAGGTTTCCCACCTCTAGTCCAAGGCAACTTTAGACCCAATGAGAGTTTTCCAAACTAGCCTATTAAGAAAGCTGACTCTTTCAGGAAGGGTTGCTGAATATGCTTGTCCATAGATTAAACTGCCTCTGATGTAATCCAGAAACCCATACTTAGACATGCTCAATAGACATTAAGCAGCAAAACTGCAGTAATTGTGACATATTTGTAAAAGCATCTTGAAAAATGACTTTTATTTGGAAACAGAAGAAAGTTAGGAAAAATTAATTATAGCTACTAGAAAAGATATTGCAATTAGTCTTCAGAAAAAGCTCATTTTCATGCTTACACTGACATCTGGTGGTAGATGATAGTATTAATCCTACTTTTTGGATTCGACATACTTCATGAAATTCATTTTCATGCTTTTGCACCAGGTAAGGCTAGGGAAGTAAAGGTCAAAAACTGTTTTTCAGAAAACATTGCCAGGAAGAAATGGCAGCTGCTATTACCAAAAATATTCTTCCTTGGTTTAGGAATGATGGAGAACATACAGTTTCTTTCTTAAACTTTGGAGAACAAGTTCAGCAGGTATGGGGGTGGGTGGGTGGCACACCATTTCCCAATAGATTCTGTTGGTTCTGCTGAACACTCTCTGACATTAATGTTTGGCTTTTGGAAAGATGAAGTGTTCCATGAAAGACTAAATGGTTATGGAACTGGAAAATACATTTTGAAGTCATTAAAATAACAATTTTGAAAAGCAAAGAAAGTTGTTCTTCATAGATCAGTAAAGGTTTTAAGTTTTTATTATTATGCTAACATAACTAACATAACACTTAACATAACATTTTTTAAAAGTTTTGTTTTCATTGATACTATAGTGACAGACTTATTTAAATTATTCTAGTCACTTGTTGGGTTATTTTACCTAGATTCTAGTTTTAAAGGAAGAGTAGGAATTTTTAATATCACCTGCCCTACAGGAAAAGCAGTAAGAAACTGAACCCTCAAGAAATCTTTCTGGAAGAAGCCTACTGTTTTCCAAGACACTATTCTAAGTCTAGCTAAGTGGCTCAGTAGATAGCCAGGTCAGGAGTCAAGAAGACTCCTTTTTCTGAGTTCAAATCTGGCCTCAGACACTTACTGAGTAACCTTGACCAAGTCACTTAACCCTGTTTGCCTCAGTTTCCTCATCTGTCAAGTGAGCTGGAGAAGGAAACCACTCCAATATCTTTGCCAAGAAAACCCCAAATGGGGTCAGAAAGAGTCAGACATGACTGAAAACGACTGAACAAAATTCTAAGTCCTGAGATACAGATGACATATCCTTATCCTTGGGAGATTTAACACAGATCTCCAAAGCATAAGGTCAAAACTGAAAAGTCATGAAAAGAGCTACTGACAATATCCTATTTGAAATCTTAGAATAGTGATGAAAATGGGCCCCCATACCTAGGCTAAGAAGGTGCATAGATAAGAGTCCCATAGATAAGAGTCTGTAGTAAGCCCAGCTATAGATCCTATCCATTTCATGGAGCACCTCTATTGTATTTTCCAATACTAGGCAGAAATGCCTCAGAACTTCGAACCTAATACTCCATTTTCTTGGGAGGAGGGGAATGGAGGATTTTAGATCAGATGCATCTGGTTCCTTAGGCTTATTTTCCCTTTCTCTAGAGGTATGAAGGAGTACATGAATCTCTTTCACTACTTCCTTCTACTGAACTGCTGAGCAGCTGGAAGTAATAGGCAGACCAACTTTCACTGACTATGTGCAAGGCTGCCCCAAAACAATAAAAGACAGAAAAAGCCATACAAACACAGGGGTGATAAGAGGACAATTGAAAAAATACCCCTAGGTAAATGGAAAAATAGAACATCAGAACTCTTTAATTCTAGTTCTCAGAAAGTAAAACTCAGGTGCTCAGCAATATGATTTCATCTGGGGCCTTCCTGATATAGATGGAGGCTGCCTACCCTTTCTTTCTGCCCCTATCAATGCCATTACTTAGCTATCACTAGGGCACCACTGGGGATAACGTTCTGGCTACAGATACATGCTATGTGTTTCTCTTTCTTCCTTGTCATTGGTAGGGAAAGGTAGCAGATATTATCCTGTTTTGGACTAGGCCAGTTATGTCTATTTTCAGGGCCTACTTTATGTATTTATTTTTCATATCCAGGCCATATATTTATTTCCTTATTTATCTCTTACATGTTTACAAGATAAAGTGAATGGATCATCCCTAATTTTCATATGGTATTATTTATAGAGGCACAGAGATAAAATGCTTTTAAACAATTCAGACTGCCATATAAATGTACAACATTATTATTATTATACTACTTTTCTTATATTACCACCCTTTTCTCAGAAGCCCTTAATCATTCTCCATTGCATGCAGGATAATCCAAACTTGTTTCTCTCTTGTATTAATATCTAATTACTTAATCAAGACCAAGGTTTTTCCTTAGGGTTCACTTTAAGGCAGACCTGTACTTTTACTGCTATAGGGAACTCTTAGGTAAGGAAACTCTTTATCAATGCAGGTCAGTATTTTCTCTGAAACTTATAATAATAAAGAGTTGCTTAGAGCACCAACAGGTTATGTCACTCAACTTCTTTCTCACTTCAGTATACCTCTCCAACTCATTTCTTTGGAAGGCAAGTAGAATTGACAGATGGTCAAGTAGGGACTTGAGGGAGAAAGTACCCTGTGCCCAGGGTAACACAGACATTATGTGTCAGGTAGGATCTGAAGCCAAGCATCTTGGTTTCAAGACCAGCTCTGTATCCATTATGCTAAATTACCTGTCAAGCAGAATACTTAATAAATAATAAATAAATAAAAATACATGCTTGCCTAACTGGAAATTACACTTGACTCCAAAGAAATGAGATGGAGAAGTATTATATTGAAGTGAAAAAAAGGTAGGGATTGTATCCCCAATCTCTAGCACAGTGCCAGGCACGTTAAAGAGCTTGTTGATTGATCAGCTGATTTCATGCAGAAGATAAATGCTTCCAAACAATAAAGAAGTCAACATCCTCTATTTGGAAAAATGCTTTAAGGTCCCTTTAGGCAACACTAGGAAAAGAGCAGTGGACAGATGGTGTATGGCTCATTTGAAGACAGGATGGCATGTTGACTTTGGAATTTAGAAAATCAGAAAGCATACCAGGCACTATACCTGTGACTGAAGGTTTGTCCGAAGCCTAAAACAACATGGCAAGACCTACTTAATTACATCTTGTTCTCTTAAATCAAATCTAAATGCTTAGATACTAGTGGCATCATCTATTCCAAAACTGACAATTGAAGGAAAACATTAATAGTGGCAAGAATTAAGTTTCTTGGGTTCATCCCAACTTCATGAAAAAGGAGAGGAGGTAATGAAATACCTACCCTTTGCTGAATTTCTTAAATGGTGGCCTTATGACACTACGGCTTTTCACAACACAGTGGCGCCCAATTCTTACATTTGCCAGATCCCCTCGAATAATGCAGTCATTCATTATGATTGTCTATGAAAGAAGAAAAAGTATTTCATTTAGGTAACAGGTTAACAGGATATCTGCTTCTTCCAGAGCTATCTTCATGGAGTATGCTGGTGAAAAGAATATACAAAGAGAAAATTGCTATGAAAGAATGTAAGATAACTGATAAATTCATTAAGAGCAATGGTCTATCTAGTGACCATCTATCACTCAGTAACATCAAGAGATTACTTGTGGGAGGGAACAATAATTCCCTCTCATGAATAAATGCTTCCAAACAACAAAGTAAATAGCCTGAATTACATCAAGAGGTTAAGGACATATCTAGACCAACCCTAACTTTCCTTTTAATATCCCATTATAAAGCAATTTTGCATGAATTTACAAAAAACCATTATCAATTAAGTCTTTATTGAACAATTTAAATGCTGAGGCCTGTAAGCAGATGTAACATAGCTCGTGCCCTGAACAAATATATCTCTTTTTCATTCAGTTTTTATTTTCAGTTCCAAATTTCTCCCTTCCCCACCCACTGAGAAGGCAAGAAATAAAAAATCTATTACAAATGAGAAGTCAGACAAAACACTTTTCTGCATTAGCCATGTTCAGGGGGATAAGGGGAACTAGAAAAAGAAAGAGGAAAAAATGCTCAGTATGCACTCTGAACCCATCAATTCTGTATCTAGAGGTAGACAGCACTTTTCATCATAATTACTTCAGCATTGTAGTGAATCATTATATTGATCAGTGTTGCTAAATCTTTCACAATTGATTATCTTCACAATATTGCTGTTACTGTATAAATTGTTCTCCTGGATCTGCTTACTTCACTTTGCATTAGTTCATACAAATATTTCCTGGTTTTTCTCAAATCATCCTTTTTATTATTTCCTACAGCAGTGCTGCTTAAATTGTGGGCTGCAACCTGGGGTTTCGAAAAATTTGTACAAGGTTTCTGAGCATGCAATGACCAAAAATTAATTAAAAATCAAACTCATAATGAATCCAAGGTGTTTCTGGCAGCACTTGCCCGTGTTGCATCGAGCAACTTCACTGCAGCCTTGGTTCTGAACACAAAGCAAGTGCACTTTGCACTTCGCATGCCATCATACCACGCAATGCCAAAGAATACTGCCAAAATGAGAAAAGGGGTCTCCAGTGAAAAAAGTTTAAGCCCTGTCCTAGAGCACAATATTCCATTACATTCATATACCATAACTTGTTCAGTCATTTTCCAACTGATGGATATCCCCTCAGTTTCCAATTCTTTGCCAATACAAAATGAGCTACTATAAATATTTTTGTACATAATGGGTCCTTTTCCTTTGATTTCTTTGGGGTATAGACCTAGTAGTAGTATGGCTAGGTCAGAGGGTATGCACAGTTTAATAGCTTTGGAGGCATAGTTCCAAATTGCTTTCCAGAATGGTTAGATTAGTTCCCAGATCCACTAACTGTGCACTACTGTACCTATTTTCCCATATCCCCTCCAGCATATGTCATTTTCCTTTTTGTCATCTTAGCCAATCTGATGGGTGTGAGCTGGCACTTCAGAGTTGTTTTAATTTTAATTCCTCTAATTATTAGTGATTTAGAGCATTTTTTCATATCACTACCGATAGCTTTGATATCTGCTTCTGAAAATTGCCTGTTCGTATCCCTAGACCATTTCTCAACTGAGGAATCACTCTTATTCTTATAAATTTGGTTCAATTTCCTATAAAGTTGAGAAATGAGGCCTTTATCAAAGAAACTTGCTGCAAAGATTCCCTTCCCCCCCAATTTCTTGCTTTTCTTCTCATTTTAGCTGCACTGGTTTTATCTGTATAAAAACTTAATTTAAATAAAAAATTATCCATTTTACTTCCTAAAATTACCTTTTTAAAAAAATTATTATTTTAAAAATTATTTTTGGCTTGTATGATCTCTAGGGGCAAGAAATTCCATATCTTTATTTTCGATTGCAAAAAAAAAAAAGTGTAATCCCTTGTATTTTTCTAAAACTATGTCCCTGAAGCTTTATGGGGTACCCACTTCCAACGGCTTAAAAAAATCTGAGATCACAAGTACAGCCAGTGACTTTACAATCCCTTCCTGTAATAAGAACAAAAAAATTTTTCTTTCTTTTTGAATGAAAGTACCAAAAGTTCCAATGTACTGAATAAAAATCACAAGTTCTTCATTTGGCACCAGATCACACCCTCAAAGGTAAGAAAACATTAAAACTTGGTAAGAGATGGATCAAACAGACTAAAGACATACACAGTAACTGGAACACTGATAGCTAATCTCACAGAATGGTATTAAGGCACAGTGAGTTTTAGAATGAAGGTAATAAGTAGAACATTAAGATTGGGAATGGATTTGGGAAAAAACTATGCAGGTACTCTAGAAGAAAATAATATTAAAGCCACTTGGCTTTTACTTATATACCAATTGGGGAACATAAAAGTACAGGAACCAGAACTATTAAACCAAAGTTCTGAAACAAAGGAACCACAAGAATTAGAAAATGTGGAGACACAGTATCTATGGATCTTAACCAAAAGGTAGCATCTGTTGAGAACATTCAGTTGCCCTGTAAATGAATGCAGTTGTATCTTGTTTCTTACCTTTCCATTTAAGACAATATTTTGACTTCCACACAGAACTGACTGGCGACTGACTTTGTTTCCAGATGCCTGAGGAAAAGCGACAGAGCCTATATGAGATCAATGAGTTCTGTGCACTGAACTCTGGTCGAGAGAGAGGGGTGTATTAGAGGCAGAACTTGATCAAGGACCAGGAAACAAAGGGTTGAGGATCAGGACAAGGGTAGATGAGGGTGTGTGTGGGAACCAAATACTTGTGAGGGTGTGTTTGGGAATCAAAATCAATCAATCAACAAATACTGAATTTGTATGTAAGGTACTGTGTTACCTAAAGAAAAGGACCAAGAAATGTTTTAAGATGTAGTACTAGTCTTTAGATGCTTTAGTAGAAGACACAAAGCATAAATACAGGCAATGGCAATCAAAGGGAGAAAATGAAATGTATTTTCTCATCGAAACCAATGGTGATTAGGTTCTCAGGCAATCTGGAAAAGTCCATTTAACCTAAAATGTCAGTACCAGTTTTACACTAATAGTACTACAAAACCTAATCAACACATGAAACCACGTTTCTGTGAAGAAAGCATTCAGAATTTCAACTTAGGACTCCAGGATCACAACACTCTTAGTTTGTCAGCTAATCTTTATTAAGCACCTGCTATGTGCCAGGCACTGTGCTAAGCCCTGGGGATACAAAGAAAAATAAAGAATGGCCCCAGGTATCAAGGAACACATTGCTTAATGGTCTCCCACCAGGGAACATCCTCACTCACTTCACCTTTCTAAGTAGGATAGGGGATTCTCTCAGCTTAAAGCTGAAGGTGGTAGCTCCCATAGCCTGGGACACAAGCTGCAGTAGGATAGGAGCCAGGGAAAGAAAAACAGGTTGGCAGCTAGGTGGCCCAGTGGATAGAGCACTGGACCTGAAGTCAGGAGGACCTGAGTTCAAATAGGACCTCAGACCAAACATTGACACTTACTAGCTGTGTGACCTTGGGCAAGTCACTTAACACTGATTGCCTCACTTAAAAAAAAAAAAAAACCTGGGTAAGTGGAGTACTGAAGACTACCAGCTAAGTAAAATTTGAAGGAAATTTTCAGGTCTCCTTTGTTTTCCTCTGTGAGCCCCACACATAGGCCTTCTGGCTTCAAAGAATCACAGAATTCAGAACTTAAAGAAAATTTAGTCCAAAGTAGAAACAAGCTTATGGAGCTGAAGTGATTTGCCAAAGTTCACACAAGAGGCAGGCTGTTATTTGAACTAACCCTAGTGTTCTGATTTGAGGTTCGGTGTTCCTTCTGCTACACAAAGGGTTCTTAACGTAGGGTCCACAAATTGATCATGGATAGATTTGGGGATGGGGGGGGAGAGCAATGAACTTGAATGGGAAAACTAGCCTCTAACTATTAAGCATTTCCTTCAGTTATGAAGGTGGGTAACAAACATTTTGAAAAGGGTTCAATATGCCTCACCAGACTTCCAAAGGTATCCATTAAACAAAAAAGGTTTAGAACCCCTGCATTCCACCATGACTCCACTCCAAAGCATTATTGATATTTCATTTAAAAAGCAGCTTTTTGACAAGTCCAGCATTTTCAAAAGGAAGAGGAAAAATTAAGTAGTCTACTCAGCACTGATATTTTAAAGTCCTTTTATGTTTTATTTTTGGGACACACTACCAGGTCTGTTGCTTTCAAGTATCATCTCTTTTTCTAGCCCAATGATGAAATGGAGAAAAGCTGAATTATTGTGCTTCCGAGATTTTCTAAAACTTTTCATATCAAGTTACAAAAACAAGACTGGGAGTAAAGGGTTTCCTTCCCAGCCCCTTTCTCTCTCTACCCCTCTTCCCACTCCCGTTTAGAACTTCTAGCACACAGGTACTAATAATGGATTTCTGCAGGAGAGTTCCATAAAGAAAAATTCAGCTACATTTCTGAGGAAAACTAGATTAGGACCCTTTCAGGTACTTGCATTCTGCGCTTTAGATAACAGCATAATAAGTGTGAGGAGGAAGGATTGGGTGGGGACTAGAATATTGGGGATACTGAACTCAGCTGCTTGGTAGCTTCGAAGAACTTCACTCTCCACTTAAGTGCTACCATTAATGCAGACCCTGGACTAGCAGGATGGAAAGACAAATCTGAATGAGGTGTGTAACCAATGCCATGTAGTGGGCATGGAAAAGGAATTCCTGTAGCAGACCTTCCCATGCAATGTCTATGCAAGTTGGACGTATGCACCAAACTTAAAACGTTAACAGACAACACAAAATGTGGATCCCGGAGGCACCCAAACTGAACAAATAAAGATATGCAGAAAGCATCTCATGGTAATGGAACAGCACTGGATTCGGGGTCATGAGGTCTGACTTCTGATCCAAACTCTGTGCTTCTTCTGCGTGGTCTGAGGTAAATCATGTCCCCTCTCTGGGCCTCAGTTTCCTTATCTGTACAAAGAAGATCTCTTTAAGACTTCCTCCGGTTCTGAGGGCCCGAAATGATTTCTCCTCCAAAGAGAAGGCAGAGGGCGGGCAGTGAGAACAGAGCAAAGGGGAAGGGGGGCGGGGAGACCCGAGGCCTGCGCCCCAGGGGTGACAGGTGGCCTAGACTAGGCTAAGTTCGGGAGAGGCAGGACGCAGGGGAGGGGCTGGGGCTGCCCGGGGATGGGCGGGGTGGCCCAGCCAACAGCAGGGAGTTTACTAGGACGACCTGCCCCTCTAGCCCCCGCCCCGCTCCCCGCGGCCCGGCGTCGCCCAGCGCACCGTCTCGATGTACTCGGACTTATTGTAGAGCAGCTCGCTCAGCTCCATCTCTGCAACCTCCGTCTCCCAAGCTCAAGTATCCCTTCCTCTCGCTTCCGGTCTCCTCCGCCACTTCCGGTCTGGAAAGGGAAACGCCCATCCTTCCCCCTTCATTCTCTCCTCTCGCTCCGCCCCCTCAGTCGATTGGTCTGCGCTCCACTAGCAAGACTCGATCGGCAGTTCGGCGAGCGGCCCCTGACGCCTGGGTTGAGCTGGCGGGATTTACAAGGGGCGGGCGCTCGCAGCTGGGCTGGGGGTTCCTAGCGGCCTCGGCGGGCCCCAGGCCCCAGTGTCCCCACGAGCTGGAGGTGGCGGGAAGGAGTTGCCCCCCCATCCTCCCCTGGTGGCTGCAGCCATGGAGGACTCGGCTGGGAAAGTGCTCAGCTGTGAGGAGAAGGAGAAGGTGCCCGGCGGGGGTGGGGGGGTGGGAAGGGGCCTTGTGATATTGGGGGGGGGTCGGTTCTCCTGGCTGCTGAAAGTGAACCCTTGGGGGGGAGCTCTCCCTGCCCCCTACTGGCGCCCCCCACCGCCCGGGACCTCGTGTTTACTCCTGACAACAACATTTCTATGGAGCTTTAAAGCTTGCGAAGGGCTTTGCACCTGCATTTGATCCTCTCAGCCCTGGAAGGGGCTACCCTCATTTTACAGATGATAGAACCGACGCCGAGAGGAATCATACAGCACAGCTAGTTTCTGCCTGACGCAGCATTCGAACTCAGGTTTTCCCGAGTCCAGTCTACCGCGCTATCCACGAATTCTGCCCCTCCCCGTAGAACGTAGGACGTTCTTGAGGTCAAGAGACTGAGCTGTTTTTTGAATTTGTGTTCCCAGTGACTAGCACTGTGCCTTGTACTTAATATTCAATTATGCAAGCACTTATTAAGCACCTACGGTGCACGTGATGCTAAACATTGTGATGTCAAGCCCCAAATTACTACTATCCTTGTTGGATTTAAGTGCTGGTTCTGGAACGCTCATTCTCTCCACCCCTCCATGCCCCCACCCCCAGGCAGAGGGGCAAAAGTAAACCTGAGGTTAGGAGGAGAAAAATCCAGGGAATATTTTCAATTTAGATAACTTCAGAGACATAAAAATCAAACTGCATGCTTCCCCTGCTCTCACTGCAAAAGCTCTGACACTTCCTACTTGGTCCAGCCTTATATTCAGTCTAGGTGGCAGAGCCAGTATTTCTTTGGGGTTTCTTTTGGAAATGTGTAATTCTAGATTGGTGCCTTTCTCTCTCCAGTTGAAGGAAAAACTGGCATTCTTAAAAAGAGAGTACAGCAAGACACTGGCTCGATTGCAGGTAGGACATTCTTTTCCTGAGAAACAAATGCTGCCTTCACAGATTACAGTATTATTATGCTGCTTATTATCACTTTAGTGGAATAAGCTTTGAGAAAACTTAATTTTATTGAACTTGCTTCTGGGACTGCTTTTGTTTTGTCTAGCGTGCTCAAAGAGCTGAGAAGGCAAAAACTTCGAAAACTGAACAGAATTGCATGCTTAAGCAGGAAACCTCAATACAAACAAACTCAGGTAAAAATAAGCTAATTCATTTTAGTCATTTATGTTTGCTGAACTCATTTACATTTTTTTGAATATTACCTTACAAACAAGACAGAATTTTTATATTTACTTTTTTATATTTAGTCTTTTTATCTCAGCTTTCAAATATAAATTTTTGTTAAGATGGGATAAAGGAAGGAAAAGAATTTAGGAAAGAAAGGAAAAGAATTTGGAGAGATAGTTAATTCTTGATGAAGTATGGGGAAAAAACACTTTGTCAATGAAATTAATTCTCTATGTAAATTAGTTTTAAGATTATGGTAACTAGCAAGCAGTTCAGGTTTGAATGTAGTACTGTTTGTAACTTCTTTGAGGATTGGGGAACATATTTATCTTTGTATCTTCCCACAGTCTACCACAATGCACAAACATGTTCAGAACTTAGTACTGGAAAAGTAACAGCTTTTAATGAATAGTAACAACTTATACTCATATAGCACTTTTGCATTCATATACACTATCTTTTTTTTCATCACCACAACATCCTTTTGAGGTGAATAGGGCAGGTATTATTGTCACCATTTTGTAGATGAGAAAATTATACCTCCTAGAATTACTGTTTGTCCATGGTTACTCAGTTGATAAATTGAGGAGGCAGGACTTGAATTCAGATCTCTTTTTTCTTGGCCCACTGATTTTTTTACATATTAATGGAATATCTCCTTCATAAAGTTTGTTTCATTTTTCACTTGAATTGTAGACTAGTGCTTAACATGTTATTCATAAAATATTTTTGTTTCTCCAGAGCCAGAAGACAAACTCTCTCTTGGTGATAGATTAGAAACATGTACACTACAAATTGATGTCCATCTTGATGCTGAAACCAAGGAGAAAACAGCTGTCACACTTGACTTTGAGCATGAATTATTGAGCTCATCAGGAATATGTCCTGAACACATAGGTGATAACTGCCAGGAAAATTTCCTTTATAGCATCACTGGACCAGATAATGAGAAAAAGCAAAATAAACAGCCATTGAATAGAATGAAGAATCGAAAAAAGACACCAGTCTCAAAAGGAAGTGAATCTTTCTTTGGCTCTGATTCACTTATAAATACTAGACAAAGACAACAAAAACAAGTGTTTGCTATAAAAAATTCTGAGTTACCAGTGTTTCAGATAAGAAATCAGTTTTCATGTGTTGAAAGTGAGATCCAGAATTCTCCCAGATCAATCACAGAAATCAGTGAATATCTTGTTCCAGCTGCTGAACTCAAAAATGATGCCACTGCAATTTTGAAAGAAAATAGTTTTCCTAAGATGGCTCCGCTTTCTTTGCATGATCCTTTGGATGACAGTAATATTCAGCAACTTGAGTGTGTTCCTCTTGAAGAAGTCTGTGATAACTATAAACTGGCTACCCAGTGTTCGATGAACCTTATTCATGTTTCACCTAAAAAATTAGAGGAAGGAGGGAAAGAATATGTTATCTCTCCAGGTGACCACATGATCAATGATGACATAAATGTGGATGAAAAGATGTCTAGCCCTCCCACCTTGCCATCAGATGGCAAAGCATTTTCCATAAATGAACTCAATCATTCATTAAGCAAAAACACACATTTTGATGAACAGAATCATAGCTTGAAGCCTTTAGAATCATCTGGTAACCTACTTGATAATAGAGGTGAAAATTTTGAAAAGAAAGAGGTCCTAAGTGAGACTGTGAGTCCTACCACAGAAATGATCTCTCCTGGTCCTACAGAAAATCCATTAAATTCTTGTACAGTGCTTGATGGTCTTCTGTTTCCTGTGGAGTATTATGTTAGGACGACACGACGAATGTCAAATTGTCAGAGGACAGTTGACCTGGAAGCTGTAATTCAGAGCCAATTAGGTGTAAAAAGAAAAGGATTTAAGCCTAAATCTAAGCAGGTAACTAAAAATTTAGATCTGTCCTCCCAACAGCAAATTGAACTTCCCTTATCTGACCAAGGAAATTCAAGTAGTCCTTTCCAAAAGTCTTTCTCATCAACCACTGAAGGCAGCCCGCCTGTTTTGCCCACTAAAGACAATGATTTTGCTCTGAATGCTTGTAAAAGACGATCAAGGAGAAGACACAGAGGGAGAAGATTCTTTTACAAAAAAGGAATAAATGATCGGGACTCAGAGCTGCAAGTTTCTGATAAGGTAGATATTAAAAAAAACAAGGAAGATGTTGCCTTGTGCAATGAAGCTCCAAGGAAAAAAGAACATGCTCAGAGAAAAAAAACAGTCACAGATAAATCAAGGTGTATCCTTGCTAACATTGACAAAAAAGCACCCGCATCAATAACACAAGGTATTGCATGTTCAATTCTTTAGGCCTGTATCAGGCATGTGTTCTGTTCCACAAAAACCAGAGCATGTTAAAAGTCTATCCAAACACTGGGAGGAAGCTGTAACTAATGCTAGAGATGATTTGGAGACCAAACCAATTTTCTATCAGTTTGAGAACCAACTGACAGAATTTCAACTGTCCAGGCCAGTTTGTTGTTCAGTGGATGGAATGTTGGGCTTGGAGTCAGAAAGACCTGAATTCAGATCCTGCCCCAGATATACACTAGCCATGTCAAACTGGGCCACTTAACCTTTCTCAGCCTGAGTTTTCTAGTTTGTAAAATGGGGATGATAATCATACCTACATCAATTAAGCTAACACATAGAAAGAGTTTTGCAAAATTTAAAATGATACATCAGTACTAGCTATGGTTATTAAGAGTAGTTATGCACTAAAAAGCTCTGAACCTATGCAACTGCCTCTTAATAAGGTGCTTTTACCAAAGGTAATTTGTCTAGCCTCTAAAGAACATAAAAATTAGGAAAAGTGGTGATGTTTAATAACTATATCTCTAAAGAATTTTTAGGTTTGCAAAGTATTTTCTTCAAAACAATCTCATAAGATAAGTAGTCCAAATATTCCAGTTTTATGGATGAGGAAACTGAGGCTCAGAGAGGTTGTGACTTGTTTGAGGTCATACAGGTAAATGTCAGAACTAGGACATGAGTGTTCTGACTCCTAAGTTTAATGCTCTTTCTTCTACTACTCAACCTGTCTCATCACAGAATAAGAAGCTTTCATTTCTGTTAGCATAGGAAATCAAATTTACTAGGGCTGGTCCCCAAAAAACTCGATTTGGGCAACTTACTGTATTCTGGGAACCAAGCACATGGGCAGAATAATCCTCACATTTCCACATTTCCACCTACTCTTCCTCTCCATGGTCCCTATTAATATTTCCAGCCAAATCCTAGATCAAGGGTTCTCAGCCACTCCCATAGGTATGTTGAATTCCTCAATGCAGTTTTAAGAATAGTATGGTTTATGTTAAAAAATAATAAAGACTCCGGGTCTTAACAGCAGAGAGTATCCTGTTGAAGCTTAAGTGAAAGCTTACTTTTGTAGCTAGGTGTCCCTGCCTTTCAATAGTAAAAAAAAAAACAAAAACAAAAAAAAACCTTACTTTCAGTATTGTCACAGCATTACAGCATTATAGTGTTACAAAAAATGACCTAGGCACTTGAGTCCTATCCCAAGGTATTGGATAAATGGCTATGAAAGCCAGTCATCTTGGATTTTAATTTATTTTTTTCTTTTTTTGTAAGGGAGACAAGATTGTATTCAAAATAAGAACCTTCATTGTTCCATTGGTAATGACTCCTTGATTGTGGATAATACCAGTTTTGATCTTTCATTTCATCTTAAGAATGAGATGCTCGGTTTTGAGAAGTTGTCATCATGCATCAACATCACTGACTTTGACTTGCCTGATGAGGACTTTGGTTTTCTTAAGCTTGAGAAATTGAAGTCTTATTCAGCAAAACAAATTGAACCCTTTGATTCAGGGGATGGTGGAAAAAAGTGTAATGATGGAGATGGTCTTATTTTGGAGGAACTGGTGCCTAAAAAGATAGTTACAGAAAAGAAGAATTTAGCAGAGGATATTATTACTGGAACAAGAAACTCACAGCCAAAAAAGCCAAAGAGTATTCCTCAAAATATGCTACTTTTCACACCTTCTAGTACTAACCTACCTGCTACAAATAACCAGCTTGAAGCAGATGTGTGTTCTCCTATTTTCCCTATTGTAGGTGCCACTCCAGTTTTTGGTTCCCAAATTCACAGTGGAAATGTGGCTACAGAAATTACTGGACCTACTTTTTGTACACCTAGGCATCCTTACTTAAAAAAACCAGACAGTCTTACTGGAGATAATCAGTGTAACAATTTACCCAGTGCATTGAAATTGGACGCTAACATGCATTCATTAGGTAGGGAAATCAAAAAACAGCCTGACCAAATAGTACCTTCTTCTGAAAGAAAATTTGACAGTGACGGTGGTTCTCAAGAAACTCTTCCACCTATTGACTCAATCACTTTCAAAGAAAGACCACTGTTGGGAAGCACTTTCCAGGTATGATTTTTCTCTTCTTAAATTAAAAAAAAAAAAGGATTGATGCCTTTCATTGTTATATTTTCGAATATATGCTTCCCCTCACCTGAAGTAAGCTATACCTTGTAACTAACATCAATAAAGAGAGGAAAAAAGGTGGTTTAACAAAACCAACCAATGGCTCTATGTGATAATATCTGTAGTATTCCACACTCACTTCTACTATGAAGAGAGGGAAATACATTTTCCTAACTTTCTTCAAGGTCAAGCTTGGTTATACTATTACACAGTGCTCAATTTTATTGTTCTTAGAATTTCCATTGTCATTATATATGTTGTTTTCCTGCTTATGTTTGCTTTCCTCTGCATTGGTTCCTATATGTCTTCTCATGCTTCTCTGGCACATAGTAGGTGCTTAATAAATGTTTATTGATTGATTGCTTTAATTCTCATTTGTCATTTTTTATGGCTCAGTCATATTTTATAGCATTCCTGTAGTACAATTTATATATCCATTCCCCATTTGATGAGCATTTTATTTCCAAATCTTTCTAAGAGAAAAAGTACTGCTGTGAATATTTTACTATATATGAGACCTTTCTTTTGGACCTGGATCAAAGGGTATGGGTATTTTAGTCACTCTCTTAACATAATTGCCAATCGCTTTCCAAAATGGTTATACTGACTCACAGCTCTACCAACAATGTATTAGCATGCCTGTCTTCAAGCAGACCAATATGTACTATTTCCATCTTTAACTTTGTCATTTTGCTGAGTGTGGGTTGAAATCTCAAGAATTGTTTTGATTTGAGATTTCTCCTATCAGTGATTTGGAGCCTCATTCATGTTGTTCGTTGTCTTTCGAAAACTATTTGTTTATATCCTTTGACCACTTATTCATTAGATAATGGCTCTTAATCCTTGTAATATCTTGGATATCAGAGATAACAGATGTAAACATTCTCTCCTAACCTACTGCATTCTAGTGCGTTATTTTTGTTTGAGGAAAAGATTTTCAATTTCATGTTAAAGAAATTGCCTGTTTTATCTTTTGTGATCTCCATGTCTCCTTAGGTTAGGAATTTTTTGCTGTAGTTGTGAAAGGTACCTGATTATTGAGATATACTTACATACATAAAATCTGTATATATGTGTGTGTGTGTATGTATATATATGTATATATATGTATATATGTATGTATATGGGTTCTTAACCTTTTTTATGTCATGAACCTCACCCAGACTTGGGAAAGGGGTCCATGACATAACAGTCTGGTTAAAACTACGGACTTCCTTTCAGAATAATATTTTTTTAGTGCATAAAGTAAAATATATAGGATTACAAAGGCAACAATTATGTTTAAATAATTATCAAAATTCTAAAACATTAATGAGCCCCAGGTTAAGAACCTCTCCCTGGTATAAGATGTGGGTCTAAACCTAGTTCTTGTCAAATAGGGAGTTCCTCCCAAAGTTTATGTTCTGGAGTTTACCTAACACTGAATTATTGAGTTTGATTGTTTCTAATTCTGGCTTATCCTGTTCCACTGATCTACTTTTCTATTTTTTAACCAGTACCAAATGATGATCTTTATAATATAATCTCAGGTCTGTAAATGGATATTCCCTTCATTCCTACCTTTTTTCATTCCTTCCCTTGAGATTCTAAACCTTTTGTTTACAGCAAATGAATTTTTTTAGCTCAGTAAATTACCCGCTTGTTAAACATGCTTTGAAGGAATGAAGTAAAAGTCTATTGAGTAATAAGTAATGAGTTCTTGATGAATTGGCCCTGAACTTAGATTAAAACATTGGAAATATCCAGTTAGAAAATGTTTTTAATGTGTTCTTTTGATATGATTAATATTAAGCCTTAATTATGGTTGTATAGTTAACTTAAAATTCATCCTTAAAAATAGAAAAGTTATATAAAAAGAGCTGCCTTTTTGATGAAGATATATCACTGGGACTTACTGTTAATTTTAGAAAGAAAATGAAAATATAGAATATTGAAATTTTAATTAATGTAGATAACACTCATAGATTTTAAATTAATATGCTGACTTTTTTCTCTCCACAGGCTAAAGTAGCAGAAGATCCTGCTGAAATTTGGTGTGATAGTTTGAAACTGGGTAACCTACAGCTAGTTTCAAAGTTAAAGGTCAGAAGGCTATCATCTTTACATCATTGTCTCCTTAATTGCTGACAAATTGGATAAGTTCTGAAAACAGGAAAATTTGATCATGCTATTGCCCTCCATTTAAGAAAGATTAAATTCAAATACAATTAAAACTGAAATAAAATCAATTCAATCCTTTACCTCCCCTCTTTTTTCTGTTAAAAAGGTTTTCTTGTAAGGGATATGGATATTCTAAATCTTTTTTAGGCAGATTGTTAAAAAGGAAATTATATGAAGCCATTTCCAAGGATACTTAGTTTGTTTTAACATTTTAAATCCAACAGGTTTTGTGCCTGAGTAAAGGGAGATTATTCTACTCTTCCTACCTTTCTTATAAAGAGAAGAAGCAATAAACAAAATAGCATTACATTCTAAATAGTGTACTTTCCTTTTATATGTTCTAGGTTGTAATGTTTGTCCCTATAATCTTTTTACTCACTTAGCAGTTCAGCTAGTGTTTAACTGGACACTGGATTACAGGGTCTAATTGAACAAAGTATATAACTTTCAATTCATGCAAATTGAAATTAGAATTTACCTGGTAGCTAATTCCTGGATTAGCCCTCTCCCCCTCCCCCCAATCTCCTTGCTGTGTAGATGGTATTTTTGGTGTGGTCGTACTCTGATTAAAGTTAATTATTATTTTAAAAGTCCACACCTATAAATTAGGGAGTATCATTCACATTACAAAAAGATCTTCATTTTACAAAAGGATTCGCCGCTAACTTCCTTTTAAGAAGTTTTAGAAAGGATCCTAGTCCTTCTAGATACTTAGGATGGATTGAGTGAATGAAAAAGCATTTATTAAGCACTTATTTTGTGGCTGACAGTCTGCTAATACAAATGCAAAAGCAAAAATAGTTCTCACCCTCAAAGAACTTGTGTTGTTTTGGGGGAAAACTATGGTGTAAGGAGACTGGTAGCCAGGAAGGGGCACTTTAGACTTGAAAATTACTGGGATGGGTACTGAGGCCTTGTAGATTGATCTGCTTCTTTCAAGGATTAATGTTAAAAATTAACAAGTTAATTCTGATCTTGGCTCCAGAACTGAAGGAGCAGCAAGGCTGCTGGTGAGTTTGTTGTATCCAGAGAGTAGGAAGAGTGAAGCGTGGCTGGGGTATCCTTGATATAGTAGGCCAGGTGAGGCAGTCACCAATCTGGTGATCTTTTTGAAATATGAGTAAGATTCCCTGAGTAATAGGTGTAGACTTTTAAATAATAATTATCTCTATCAGGTTATATCTACACCAAAAATGCCATCTGCCAAAAATGGTGATTGGGAGTGGGAGAAATGTGTAATCCAGGAACCTGCTGTTAATGTAAATTTTAATTTTGGTTTGCCAGGCAGAAGTCATCAGCTGAGAACCAGAGAGGTTAAGTGACTCATTCTAGGTTATAGATGTATGTGGAAGAGGAGTGGAGTTGCAGTCCAGGTCCCAAGACTCCAAATCCAAAGTGATTTACATTGCACACTGTACCTTTCCTCCTCTACTGCATTTATCATAGGATTTAATTTGTACTCTTGATTAGAGCAGTGTATTTTTACTTGCTAATACTTAGCCTCAAGTTATTATCCTTGTAGTCATGAAAATAAGGGGAAAAACAACACTTAAAGCAGGTAAATCCTTGCAGATACAATGCAAGCATCCTTTTACATTTCATGTACTACAAATCTAAAGCAACTGTTTGAAAAGGTGTTTTTTTTTTAAGGCCATTTGTAGTATAAAAATGGGTGTCAATCTTGTACTGGAAATTAGGACTTAAATGTTTGTGTTCAAGTCAGTAAACCTAGAGCATCAAGCACTATTGGGTGCTTGGGAGATACAAAGATGATTAGGATAAAGTCTCACTCAAAGCTTAAGGCTCTTACAGTACAGTTGGCAAGACCCATGAATCTAATTTTCCTTTGACCTGCATAGAACTTTAATTTAACCCTCTACTTTATTTAGGGTCCTATCAAATTATTACTTTTGAATGTTTTTTTTGGTAGAGTTACCTCCATCTCAAATTCTCATAGGTTACCTATCTACCCCTTTCCTCAAGCATGAGGCCCCCATTTGTACAGACATCCCAGACAGTCATCAGGCCTCCACTTGGATGCCCCTCAAGATAAGAAATTAGTAAATTTACATAAAACAAACAATATTATAGGTAGCTACAGGGATCTACTGACTTCAGAGTCAAGAGACCTGGCTCTGAGTCATAACTCAGCTACTTAACTTTATCTGACCTTTTGACATTACTTCAGTTCATTTTTCTCAACTATAAAATGGAGACTGTAATACTTGTACTGCCTGCTCCAAACAAAGGGTTGCTAGGAGGGAAAAACCTCATGAACTTTAAAGAATGATTTAAGAGTTTGCTCTCGTTATTATTACTTCACATTAATTGCTGTTCCTCCTTTGTGACAGAATCCTTCAGATTCCTGTTCTGTGGATGTGAGTACTGTGTGGTGGGAAGTAACTGGCTGTAAGGAGTCATGTATCATAACTGCCTGTGAATTTACAGTTTCTCTCTGGAAATCTCTCGATAACTGGCAGTGGAGAAAAGTTTACACATGGCACTTCACAGAGGTAGGAATCAGAGATATTTGTAGGTGGAATTGACTGTGAAAAGAACTTCATTTACATAAGTATAAAGAGGTACCACTTACCCACGAAGCAAAAAAAGCAAAAAAAAAATTATGTAAACCCCATTTAAATTATTTGAGATTTTGTCAGATTTTTAATTTGACTTCCTATATTTGCTTTTATCTCTGCTTTCTAAAACATGGTTCTTCAATATACCAGTTATCATTTTAGTTAATTTTTTTTGTTGGGTCACAGACCACTTTGCTCTTTACCAAGCCTTTATTAATACTGATTTGCTGATTCCTTTCCCAGGGTTTTATTCATAACCTCTGATAACACTAAGAAAAGAGATATTTATAGATGTGTAGCATTTTTTTTGGGAGGGGGGATCACTTTGCTACCTACTTCTTAAAGTTTAGGAGAATGCTGTGGCATTGTAACTAGAATGTGATCATTAAGAACTTTGGAGAGTTAATGAAATGAATGAAAAATGAAATAAATAAAGCAGTCAAGAAATGATTCTTTGTTGTTGTTGTTGTTGTTTGATTTAGATTCCAGTACTACAAATTATTCCGCTTTGGGATGCTTGTAATCTTGTGTGTGTTGCTTTGGGACATCTAGAGATTAGAGAAATCAGGTATGTAAATGTAAAGCTATGTTTTTTCTTTATTATTGAAACAGTAAACCAGCAAATTTTTGTTGAGTGCCTACTATTCTGTACTGAGCATTAAATACCTATTTATACTGCGAATTTTGAAAGGATTTTTAATTTTTATTAAAAGCAAAACATATAAACTCTTAGGCATTAAAATGGCATTCTTGAATTGCAGCATGTTTTAGTGGAAGGAGTGATGAATGTGTAGTCAAAAGAGGCCTATATTCAAATTTCATCTCTGATTCATGTTAGCTGTTTGACCCTGATGTTTCTGAGCCTTAGTTTCCTTGTCCAGAAAATAGGGGATTAATAATACTTGTTTTGTAAGCCTTAAAATACTGTATAAATCTGAATCAAAAATGGTTTTCCTTTTGAAGTGTGAAGTTGCAAAGATATGCCATTTCTATGCCTCCAACAAATTCCTTTCCATATTTTAATCTATTCCCCACATATACAAAATTTTCCTTATGTTTCTTTCATTCTGATTTGATTTAGATTATTGTTTTGTTCTGATGATGAATGCTTAAAGCAGTCACTTGTAAAATCTGGAAATATAAAAGCTGTGCTTGGACTTAGACACAAGAGGCTAGTCTGTAGCAATGGGACACTTCATGATCACCAAGTAGACCTCATGACCTTTTCAAGATCTGGAAGGTAAAAGAAGTATTGCTTGCACAGATTTATCTTTTTCATTTTATAAGATAAGGAACTGGTTTGGTCACAGGTCACAATTTATATTTAAAATATAAATTGAATGACAAAAGGGTGGTTTCCCTGTCTTATGGATGTACTTGGAAAGATCAGAAGGCAAGCTGAGCATTTATGGGGATTTTTCCAGAAACAATTCAGATACATAGGTAGACGGCCATAACAGGAGAGAGTAGTAGAATAATGGAAAGGTGAAGAGACAATTGGAAGCTAAGGTAGGTCTGTTAGCAGAGCACAGGTTTTTCTGGTAGGGAGACAAGGGAAAAAATTGTTCAGGAATTATAAATTATGTCTTTGTCCTATTTTATCTTGAATAGTATTAGAGAGTTACCTTTGTTCAATTTTCAATTTTTTGTTTTATCTCTAATTTGGCTAAAAGGAAATAGGCAAGAAAAGAAATAGAAATATTTTGTTTAGAAAAGAATAAAATTAAATTTCTGCTTTATTATCAAATAATCTTTGAAATAATGAATGAATCCTAAGTGTCTGTGCCACTTGTGGTATGTAGAAAGACTAAGTTCTTTCCTTGAAGTTGCTTATACCCTTAAAAAGGTGACATTAAGAAGTTTTGTATTTAAGTATTTTCTGTTATTAAAATTTTGTGGTTTGATCTTTTTTGGGATACTGGATTAGTTATTGGGCAGAGTTCAGTAGAGAGACCTGCCTAGGAAAATCTTTGGTATGAGGTTCCAATTCTTAATACTCTTTAAAATCCAGAAGTAAAGAAAAGCAGACATTGATGTCTCCAGAAGAAACCATCCTGGCTTTTGCTGAGGTTCAAGGAATGCAAGATGCTTTGCTTGGCACAACTCTGATGAGCAATATTGTTATCTGGTAAGTTTTCCTTTTGTGGTGAATTTTGAAGTCAATATACAATAAAACTTCATTAATTCACACACTGTGAAAAAGGTTAATTTGGGGGCAGGTAGGTGATGCAGTGGATAGAGCACTAGCCCTGGAGTCAGGAGGACCTGAGTTCAAATCCGGTCTCAGACCAAACACTTGACACTTACTAGCTGTGTGACCCTGGGCAAGTCACTTAACCTCAACTGCCTTAAAAAAAAAAAGGTCAATTTGAATTATAGAATATATGTGTGTGTATGTAGATTGCTTTTTATTTCCAACTCAGAAGAAAAATAGTCTAGCATCCACATTATTCTTTCCTTTGTTTTAATTCATGCTTTTTGTTTATGCTACATTATGTTTATTTTTGAATATATCTCTCCACCACACTGAGCCATCCTTTGTAATAAAAATTTAAAAAGAAAGAATAAAAAAAGCAGTTCAGATCCAACCAACATATCAGCTATGCCTGATAGTGTATGCAATATTCCATACCTGTAGTCCCTTACTTTTGGAATGAAGGAAGGGAATTGATTTTTTTAAAAACCTTTTCTCTGGGGCCAAACTTGGTCATTATAATAAAATATCTTTGAAGAAATACAATTTCATTCTTTTCAAGTATGTATAGTAACCAGAATTAGTTTTTTAAAGTTTTTGAGAAGATGAGATAAAGGGCTTTGATGATAGGGTCTTCTGACTAGCCACGGAACAAGAGAAGTGCCTGGACTATTATCTTACAAACTTTCTCTAAAATTTTGGAATATAAAAGACAATTTGGACTAACAATATAAATTGTTCTATAACAATAGGACAGTTTATGATTTAAAAATAATATTTTTCAAAAGCATGGTGAAAAGCATTGTTGAAGTAAAGGAATCTTTTATTCCTCTTGTTAGAAGACAGAGCTATTTTAATGTCAAAGAGTTTTTTTTTTGTTAAGGTAATAGGATAACTTTTGCCCAGAAAAGCCTCTTGTATTAACCAGCATATAATTTCCTTGGAACTGGAGTACATATACAATCCTTTTGTAAATCATACTCTTGGTCTGGTGGTTATGACCTTTCAATTTCTATCTTACTTTAAATCTTGGGGTAAACTGAATAAAAGTTTGGGTGTTTTGAATGGAGGCCCTTTGAATGAATACACTAGGGGATTGTTGATGCTAGAAGAGACAGTGTCAATACGATAGTATTCCTGACTTTATAGAGTTTAGAATTGAGGACTGGAGAAGAAAGTAGACAGGGATTGTCATGTGACCTATACGCAAATATTCAGTACAGTGTAACACAGTGTATTGAAGAGTTTAATTTAAAAACGAGAGCTACAAAGTGCTATGTGAAGTCAGAAGAAGGAAAACCATTTCTTATTTGGGGAGGATCATGGAAAGCTTCGTGAAGGAGGAAGCCCACAGGGACCTTTATCTCTACTTATATGACATCTTCTGGTCCAGAATATGAGGGCAGGATGACAGATGTAATCTTCAGACAGAATGATGTGCTTGCTTTTTCTTCTTTCTTGACTTAGGTCCTTCCAGTTAGTTCATTTAGGTATTAAGGCCTCCTTGCCTTTTGGAGGCCTTATAGATTACCACAGGTAGTAATATGTATTACATTACTATCTACAACTTGGCTTATATTCTACCCACATTTGCCCAAAGCTTGTTCTGTTTTCACCTTTCCTTTTGATTTTGTATCCTTATTGTATCCCTTTCCCATTTGGCCTTATCCTAATCACTTAGCTCCATCTTCTCTTTCAAATTCATCCTATACATTTTCAGTGCCATCCGTTACCCTTCTCACTAAACATTTTCAATGGTTCTAGATTGCCAAGAAGATAAAAAGAACATCTCTCAGCTGGGTATTCATGGTCCCCCTCAACCTGGCCATGACTTGCATCTCTAACCTTATCTTTGAATAGTTCCCTCCATAAGTTTTTCCTTATTTGAACTCTCCTTCTTGCTTCAGAATATACCAGGAAAATTGCCACTTCCGTGTCTGTTCATGTATCATGGTATTACCCTTTCAACATCTA